ACTATTGTGGCATTCATTCAGAAAATGTGATTCAAATGATAGTAGAAATGAAAGGATTGGAAAAATTAGTGATAGATTTCAATGAACGCGAAACTATATCACAATTGTTTAGATGTTTGCCTAAAAGTATGAAATCCCTGTATATTGAATATGAAGAGGATTTAATCGACAGTCAATTAATAACAAATCTATTGGAAAGTAAAGCAAAAAATTTGCAGTATTTATATCTCAACGGCACTCATATCACTGAACAGGCGCTGCAACTCATCAACAATGGTCTGGCATTGAAAGCTTTATCATATGATTTACGACAACAACCAAATGAATGGCAATCTGTTCAACAAATCGCTCAAAAACAGAGAGATCTCGTATACCTTCGTCTCGATTGCATGATATGTTATGGTTTTGATTACATCCAGAATTTGATACACTTCTCAAATGTGAAAACACTTTCTCTATACACTTGTAAACCGAGAGAAGAGGCGTTTGTTTCGCTATTAATTAGTTTCCCGACACTCAATACACTTGTGTTAAGCAATACATCGATTGCTTGTCATTTTGATGAAGAGAATTGTTTGACATGTTTTGGGCAAATGTATCGTTTGATCGCAAAACACACGACAATTAAGACTTTAAGTCTTTATGACGGAAATTTGATGGTAGATAATAAAAGTGCCGTTTTGTGTAAACAATTAATTGAATTTAACAGTTTATCGGCAATTCATTTGAATTGTAATATTCAATATAATTTGGACAATTACACAACGAGTTGGAACCAATTTATTACTGATTTCATGGATTGGTATTCAATAGATCCGAAAAAATGGTTCACAATCTGTGTTCACAACAATACCGGAGATCTCACTTTTGGTCGACAAATGCCCAGAAATTTGAAGATCAGAAAATTTTGCAGTAAAACTGCTGTTAGTTATTGAAACCCATGTCTAAAATTGTGTAAATTTCTACTAATTAATAAATGCTTTAACACAAAAAATTTAGGAAAGAGTTATAATTATTAAAAACATTAATCAAAATTTAAAATAAAATATAATTATTATTATAACTGCATTCATAGTATGTAAAACCACTTGTTCGCCGACATATCGTTGATAATGTTTTTAAATGAGTGCAAATCATTTTTAACTTATTAATTATTTCCACTTAAATACGTGTTTTAATAGATTTAATTACAAAAATTATTAAACAATCGTTGAATTTAGTCATGAATTCAACAATTATATTATGATGTCATTTAAAAATAATTAATAATATTAATGCCATTTGTCAAATATATATCTTTACTGTTATATAAAACTATTGCTGAATTTGATTCAAAATGAGTGCTAAAGTAAGCGATAAAATATTTGACAAAGTCTTCGCGGATCGAGATTTGGTGCTAAAGATCTTCTCATACCTCGAGATTCATGAGTTGATTGGTTTGGAGAGAGTCTCCAAAGAGTTCCAGTTTTGCGCCAACTATTGGTTTCGCAAACAGAAGAGCATTGCATTCAACGAGAAGTGGTGTGGAATGGATTGGTTTGATGTCGAACCTAAGGCTGATATGATGTCAAATGCCTATACGTTTCCCAATCGATATCTTGAGACCCATTCGGACGGAAAGCCATGTCTTATAGGAAGCAAACAACGGATGATTTGGTTGTCAGAGAAGTTGCCAAACATTGAATACTTAGGAATCGGTCACTTCGATAGCAATTACCAGACATTATATGAGATTCTCGAAGCGTTTCAATCAATTAAATGGTTAGAAATGTGTGGTTTAAATATCTTCACGGATAGAGAGTATCGACAATTGGGACAACTCTTGTCGGGAAGAGTTACACAATTTACTGCAAACATATGTGACAATCGTTCGGCACATATAATTCAAATGATACGAGAAATGAAAGGATTAGAAAAATTAGTGATATATTTTAATAATTGGGAAATTATTGACGAGTTATTCCGATGTTTACCTAAGAGTATAAAATCATTGTGTTGTGGATCTGATTATGAGATAACAACGACCAACCAATTGATGGAAAATCTATTGAACAAAAGTGCCAAACATTTGCAATATCTGTATCTCCACAACAATTTTATAAGAGAAGAGTCACTGCAACTGATCATCAATGGTATGGCATTGAAAGGGTTTTCGTATAATTTAAAAAATACTTCAATTCAATGGCAAAACTTGCAGAGAGTGGCAAAAAAACAAACAAATCTCGAATATTTAAGTCTCTATTACCAAGTCTTTGGTGATTATAGTTATTGTGGAAATAAAATACTATTTTCAAAAGTGAAAACTCTTGATCTGACGGCATGTTATCCCAAAGAAGAGGCATTTGTATCGCTATTGAAATGCTTTCCTACACTCAAAATACTTGTATTAAGCGAAACATCCATTCCTTGTAATGTTTGTAATTCAACGGATTGTTTGACATCTTTTCGACAAACCTATCGATTGATCGCAAAATACACTATAATTCATACTTTGAGTCTTTATTATACTGAAAAGACAGAAGTTTTGTGTCAACTGCTCAATGATTTTCACACTTTATCTGCCATTCATTTGTGTAAATATTTTAATTTCGATTTTCAAGAATACAAAGATTTTTGCCACCGATTTATCATTGATTTTATCGATTGGTATTCAATAGACCCGAAGAAATGGTTCACAATCTGTGTTCACAACAATACCGGAGATCTCACTATTAATAGACAAATACCTAGAAATTTGAGAATTAGAAAAATTCTGTATTAAAACTGTAATTAGTTATTGAAATCCGTGTTTAAATTTATGTAAATTTCTATCAATTAACAAATGCTTGAAAACGATAAATTCAAGAAAGAGTTATAATTATTTAAAACATTAATCAAAATTTAAAATAAAATATAATAATTATTATTATAACTGCAATCACAGTCTGTTTAACAACTGGTTGGCCGACATATCATTGGTCATGTTTTCAAATGAGTGCAAATCTATTTTATTTTAATAATTATTTTCACTTAAATTCGTGTTTTAATACATTTAATTACAAAAATTATTAAATAATCGTTGAATTTACGCATGAATTCAACAATTATATTATGATGTCATTTAAAAATAGCTAATAATATTAACGCCATTTTTCAAATTTATATATTTTACTGTTATATAAAAGTATTTCTAAATTTGATTCAAAATGAGTGCTAAAAATAAAGATAAATTTCTTGAGAAAGTCTTCACGAATCGGTGTTTAGTGATTGAGATCTTCTCATACCTTGAGATCCATTCACTCATACGTCTGGAGAGAGTCTCCAAAGAGTTCCAGTTTTGCGCCAACTATTGGTTCCGCAAACAGAAGAGCATTGCTTTCAACACTACTATTGGTGTCGATCACTACAAGCCTAGGGATGATGTGATCCCAAAGTCATATGTGTTTCCCAATCGATATCTTGAGACCCATTTGGACGGAAAGCTATGTCTTATAGGAAGTAAACAACGGATGATTTGGTTGTCAAAGAAATTACCAAACATTCAGTTCTTATCCATCATTCACTTCGAGACAAACTTTTAAATACAATTAAAAATTCTCGAATCATTTCAATCCATCAAATGCTTATTCATATGCGGTTTCTATGCATTCACGGCTCAACAGTTCCGACAATTGGGACAACTCTTGTCGGGAAGAGTCACACAATTTGTTGGAAACTATTGTTGCATTAATTCTGAGAATATGATTGAAATGATACGAGAAATGAAAGGATCAGAAAAATTAGTGATAGCTTTTGAAAAACCAGAAAATATTAGACAATTATTCCAATGTTTGCCCAAAAGTCTGAAATCATTGGCCATCGGATCCAATTATGAGATAACAATCGACAACCAATTGGTCGCTAATTTATTGGAAAGCAATGCAAAGGATTTGCAGTATTTATATTTCACCAGTAATTTCTTCACCGAAGAGGCACTGGAACTGATTATCAATGGCATGACATTAAAAGCGTTATCATATAATTTACTCAATATATCGGTTCAGTGGCAATGTCTGCAAAGAGTATCTCAAAAGCAGACAAATCTTGAATATTTTGAACTCAATTTCCAAGATTTTTGTGATTATAACTTCACGACAAATGCCATCCAATTCTCAAAAGTGAAAACACTTTGTCTCAAAAGATGTAAACCGAGAGAAGAGGCGTTTGTGTCGCTATTGATTGGTTTCCCGGCACTCAAAACACTTGTCTTAAACCACGTTTCGATTAAATGTAATATCACTGAAGTCGAGAATGAGTTTGTTGGGCAATGTTTGACATGTTTTGAGCAAATGTTTTATTTGATAGCAAAACACACCACTATTAAGACTTTAGGACTTCATTACAAAGATTTCATTAAAACTAAAATGAGAGTCGTTTTGTGTAAACAATTGAATGAATTTCACAATTTATCGGCCATTCATTTGAATAGTGACTATAATTTAGAGAATTACACAACAATTTGCCGCAAATATATAAATGATTTCATAGATTGGTATTCAATAGACCCGAAGAAATGGTTAACAATCTGTGTTCACAACAATACCGGAGATCTCAGTATTGAGCGACAAATACCCAGAAATTTAAAAATCAGTAAAAGCTTGTAATAAAAAGTGTTGATATTTTAGAATTTTATCAAAAATTGTCATTAATTATATTTTAGTTAAATTTTTCCGAATTCAATTTGAAATTTAATAAATAATATTTGGGCAATAATTTAGTAAATAAATGGTTTTTCGAGTATTTATATAATAATTATTTATTTAAATCAAAGGTTTAGGACATTGAAAGTGTGTGAAACCATTGGTTTGCCGACAGTCACTCGCCATTGACATATCATTATTAATTTATTATAATTTAAACATAATACTGTCATAAAAATATGCCATATAATTATGTCACTATTTATTATGGTAATTTAAGCCCGCATATGATAATACTATTGAAATAATGTTATGGCGAATGTATTTCATACATAAGAGGCCCAAAATACTGTAAATAATTATCAAATTGACCGAAATGTTTGGTTTGAATTTGATTTAAAGTATTGATGTCTTTCAATGAATTCATTATTTGCTGTAACTTTAATTGTGATTCCGATTCCGAGCGGTATTTCAATAGTAGATATCTTTGCAGTAAATATATATACAGTTGTTGTTCGAGTCTAACAAACAATTAAACAATTTATTATTTAATAAATATAATAATTATTGTTATGAGTAAATCACAAAAACCTACCTGATTATATTTTTGTGCAATAAATTAGGGTGGTTTGGGTTAAATAGTATGATAGCCGCCAACTTGAACAAAAAATGTTAATTTAATATGAAAATTTAATAAAACTATAATAAAAATAATAAAAAATACCAATTCAATAACAACTTGATCATCGTAATTCCAGATTGATGCAAACTTTTTATAGTAAGTTTTTAATGAACTTGTTAATCCAAACGGCTGGTATACATCTAAATCGAATTGCATTGAATGATCATGGTCCTAAATAAATTACATTGATTACAAAAAATAAAATAATTTATAAATTACCAAAACTTACTATCTCTGCGACAAAACACTCAATCTCTATGTTATAGTATTTAAGGCAACGGATTAGCACCAGATCTCTGACCCCGTGTTTCATAAGCGCATACTTATCGTCGGCACAGATATTGTTAAATCCGTTCAGACTTTTTGTGAATTTAACAATTATTTTAATGAATTCCTCATTCAAGTCGTTATAACTGGTCGTTAATTCTTGCAAATCGTTAACCTTATGGACAGTTGTATTGTGTGTATTGGTATTCAATCCTGAATTAAATGTGTTGTTGTAAGCAATCAGTAGTTCAGATATACGGCTGAACTCTAATTGATTGATACCATTATAATCACTGATTGTCTTAAATACAGGAATTATTGGCAATTCTTTGCCTAAATTTTTGTTGACATGTTTTACGACAGAATTTGTATTGTTTTCACTGACAATCAGTTGCTCTTCAATATCATTGATATTAATTGAATTATTGTCTAATAAATCAAATGTAAAATTTTCATTAATAGCTGTGTCGCTAATCAATAAATAATTTTGTGAATTATTATTATTAGAGACATCTATATAATTGAGTGATTCATCGCTGGGTTTATGTTTTGATTTAATTACTTCATAACCTCTTATTAATTCCTACAATAAGTAAATAATTAATTGTTAATAAAATTTATAATAAATAAATAAAAAATACTTTTCTCATTCCGAGAGCGAAACATTTTTCAAGTCTGCATTTATTGCAGTGCCTTCTCGTCAACACATTTATAATGCATTTCCCATTTGACGGACAATTGAATGGCTATTAATAATAAATATAATTATGAAATTAAATTTTTAATTATACATAAAATACAATTAAAACCTCATTTCTCAGTCCGTGTCTACGAAAGAATGATTTACACGATTCACAAGTTATGGCACCAAAGTTTCGGGCTATGAATGAAATATTTATTAAAAGTCACATAATTATTATAATTGTAACTTTATAACAATTTATAAACATTATCAGATAATTCACCTCGGCATTTATCACCGCAAATGTCACATATAAGTCTGGACTCCAATTGATTGATACCATTATAATCAGTGATTGTTTTAAATACAGGAATTACTGGTAATTCTTGCTGTGGATTATCATTAATAGCTATTGTATCAAAATATTCACTCATATTGTTTTCAATGTCTTTAGTATTTAACGAATTATTGTCTATTAAATTAAGCGTAAAATTTCCGCCAATAGTTGTGTCGCTAATCACTGAATTATTTTGTGAATTATTAGCCGTGAAATCAAAACAATTATCGCTTTCATCGCTGGGTTTGTTTTTTGATTTATTTTCTTTAATCATTTCATTTCTATGATTGTGTTGTTCAGCACTTTGTAGTAAATCCTGTAATTTATTATTTATTAATACATTTAATATTTAAAAAATATGATTTAATAAATTGTAAATACATTTTTCATGCCGACAGCGAAACACTTTTCAAGTCTGCATTTAATACACATCCGTCTCGTCATTACATTGATATCGCATTTGCCATTTGAGGCACAAATCAATGGCTATTGAATATTAAGTAAATTATTTTAATTAAAGTACAAAACAGTTAATTAAAACCTGATTTTTATGTCCATTCCTACGAAAAAAGGATTTACACGACACACAACTCATGGCACCAAAGTATCGGGCTATAAATACAATGTTATTTGAGCTAGTTAATACAAATTACTTAAAAGTATGTCAAGTCAATTTACCATGTCCTTTATCACCGCAAACATCACAAATTTTGACCATTATTTATATTTTATAAATACAATCTAGCAACTTTATGTTGTGTTTAAATGGTGTTATGTTAGTAAACATAACAGTTAAACATTTTCCGTTACTTGTACCATCATGACATTTTACATTTACATTACATCAGAGTTATTATCAGTAGACAAGGCCTACAATCACTTAACCAGAATCTATTAGCGCATGAATTCTATACACATTTGTTATGACATTGAAGTCTTAAGCAAAGAAAAAACTGGTTTTATTGTCGATTGTTTCACTAAACCATACAATTATTATATACTTTATATACTGTATTTGTTTTTATCGATACAAATTGAACTGGATTATTTATAAATCTATACATTAACATTATACACAGTTAACTGCAAATGTGTGCAAAAGTCTTAGCATTGCAAAATCTTAATATTGTAATTATTTATTTATAATACAATTTCGCCAAGATACCCCATTAATCAATCTAAGCCAGGGCAAAATCAAGTAATTAATATAATTATTATAAATATAATAATCCAGTACAGTAAGTAATCATAGTTAATTGAAAATATTGTGTTATCCAATGTTAATCATATACTGTTTAATTATATTTTCATTCAAAAATTCATTTTCTGTACATTTTATAAATCTTATATAAATAATTACATTTTAAGTTAATAAAAACCAGAATCTGCCTGATATATTTTAAAGATCTCTCTCTCTCTCTCTCTCTCTCTCTCTAATAAAAATATTTAACAAAAAACTGTAACAAAACAATTGCTGACATAATGGGCTCATCTTTATAGACATACATCGGTTGAGTTGAGTCTCAAACCAAACGCTGTGATGAATACCAGTCCTCCGGTCGGTCGTCGTTATACCAAACGACTGGCCACCGCATACCAGAGCCCATGTGCTCGACACCGGCCGATGGCATACCTGAGCCAATGGCTCACAATATGGGTCGCAGTGACCGACGCCCTGATACTGGAGGGGTGCCGCCAACGGGCGGCGCCCCAACCGGACTCAATGATAGCCCCGGGGTATTCACGAACCCCCGGGAAGGCCGGCCACGGCTTAGCACCGATGGCCGGTATAAACACATAAAAACCCTGTTAAAAGGGGTATTTTCATTTTTTTCACTTTCTCTCTCTCTCCCCCCTCTCTCTCTCTCAATCTCTCTCTCTTTTTCTCTAATAAAAATATTTAACAGAAAACTGTAACAAAACAATTGCTATGAAATTGTTTGCATAAATAATTTTTACTGCAAAATGTTTTCATAGATTTAAGATTAGATTTAAGTTTAAATTATAAGAGTGTGTAAAACAGCTGTAAATGTATTGCAATACAAAAGGGCTATCAATGAGAGTGTGTATCAAATATGAGCTCAAAGAGTGTGTATAAAAAAACTATAAACATAAAATACCATGGTACAAAAACAGCGCTGTAATTGGTTAACCTATTAAATAATCATTTCTCTCTCTCTCTCTCTCTCTCTCAAACTCACAAATATTGTGACAATTGTTTCAAACGCTCGGATCAATTGAAGAGATGCGCGAAATGTCTTCACATGTATTACTGCAGTACAGAGTGTCAGAGAATGACTGGAAGTATCACAAGAATGAGTGTCCACTCTATGGCTGCCAAACTGTATCACAACTCGTGCGCTGGCAGTCATCGCTGCCAACACTGGCCCAACTCATGGGCGCCGAGAGTCGGCCCACCGTAGAGGGCGGCGCCCAATAGGGCTGAGCGGCGCCGGGGTATTCACGAACCCCCGGCAAGTAATACGGGCTAAATAGAGCCGTCGGGGTATTAGCGACGCCCCGGCGGCAGTTGGATCGATACGCCCTATAAAAGGGGTGTGTTTTCTCTCTCTCTCTCTCTGATGCGAACCCAACCCCTTATCAAACCCTGGCTTACCATCACTTTGTCGGAGTCGATGATTTGTCAATGTATTGCAATACAAAAGGGCTATCAATGAGAGTGTGTATCAAATATGAGCTCAAAGAGTGTGTATAAAAGGACTATAAACATAAAGTACCATGGTACAAAAACAGCGCTGTAAAATGGTTAACTTATTAAATAATCATGATTAAGTGTATGATAGCCCAAAAAGTCCTTTTGACATTTAAAATTTATTATTTTAATATATTTGTTAATATTTGTTAAATATTAAATTGACCATTATAAAAATCCATTATAAAACTAATAACTAAATTATGTTCTGTTACATACGTATATCATATCAATATAAAAATTAATAAAATACCAGATATTTTAACCAATTTATTTTCATTATTTGTATTTGTTTTAATTACAATCTATAAATAAACAATTAAACTATCAAAACATTCATTAATAATAAATTTGTAGTGTTTGACAAATAATTATAATGATATTCATATGATGTATGTTTTCATGTTTTACAGATATTTATATTATTAATTACATCAGAATAAAAACGTGTATCTTCAATATTAAAGTAAATAATTAGTAATACATTTTATATTATTTAAACATTATTTAATTAACTAAAAATATAACAGCAATTAATGACAAATCAACTAAAATAATTATATTCTTGATTATTGTATTAAACACTTTATATCATTGGATATTATTTAACTATTTTAAACATTAATTTCTGTAACGATATTCTATTGAATTATAATAACATTTTTCAAAAATTATTAATATCAATAAAATTATTAACTTAATATTTTATTCTGCATGATAAACACATAAATAAAATAATAGACCATGGTTTATTGAAATCCTAAAGCACTATTCCATATACAGTAATAATAAACCAATTGTTTAATATTACCTTTATGAGCAGTAAATGTATGTGCATTCATGATGATAAGGTGCTTATACTGTATTCATATAATGTTATTAAGTAATATGGTTTGTTGGGATCCCAAAGCACTATCGTCTATTTGGCCTTGGATGTTTGAAAGCTATTTGCAATATTTATTCCAACTATTATGTATATAAATAAAGTGCTTGCATTCATACTCACTGTATTTATTTGAAAACTTGCAAAGTGTACTACAATTTATTTTTAACATATTCTGTGATGTTTGGCGAAAAAATGATTTTGTCCGCAATATTTAGTTTATCCGCTCTTTGTATTTCTTATTTGTAAGTATTATAGCATTAGTTTTAATTTATAATTAATATTTAAACAGTGATCTCTCTCTCTCTCTCTCTCTCTCTCTCTATCTCTCTCTGTCGGGTAGTTATTTGACCCGAAACTACAACTATTGGCGTAAGCGTGGAATACGCGGACCAAAACCGGTGCTACTTTTGGGCACATTATGGCAGATATTCAAGAAACCAATCGTAGAAGTGATGATGGACAATCGTAAAAAGTATGGCAACATTTACGGGTATGTACTCTACATGTTTGGTTAAGCACTTGTAATAACATAATCAATATTCATGTAATTGTAATAATGTATTATAATTTAGCGGTTTTATGACTACTCGACCCAATATAATGATCGGCGATCCGGAGCTCATCAAAGCGATGAATATCACAGACTTTCATCACTTCACAGATCACACGGACATGAAATCTGGCGATCCGTTGAACGACAGGTCGTTGTTTAATCTGATGGGCAATGAGTGGAAACCAATGCGATCTGTGGTTAGTATTATACACAGTGTATACCGAGTTATTCATAATTAAATTGCTTCAAAATTGTAAAGTTAATTAAATAAAATAAATAACAACTATTTTATTATTTATTATCTATTATTTATTCAATAATTAGATTAGTCCCACATTTTCATCGGGAAAAATGCGAGCAATGCATCCAATTATCATTAATTGTGTCCATCGATTGGACAAATACTTGGAGACAAAGGCTATAAATGGGAGTGAATTTGATTTGAGGCAAACGATGGGTAACCTAACGATGGATGTGATCGCCGCCTCAGCTTTTGGCACACAAATAGACACTCATAACGACCATAAAACCAATGAGTTTGTCAAGAATGCCGACTCAATCATCAAGGGCAATTGGCGAGTGTGGCTCGTATTCCCATTAATGTCCATTTTCCCAACACTGGCCGAACGGCTCGGACTCTCAATCTTTAGTCCATCGGTGCGACAATTTTTCAAGTCAGCCGTACGTATAGTTGAAATGTATAGTATTAAAAATGAGTTGATACGTGTTTCAACAACAATTCACATTGCATCTAAACATGTAAATTATAAATTCGCTAGATTTCTACAATAATCGCCAGACGTAGAGCCGAACCCAACGCATGTAAACACAGGGATTATCTGCAGCTTATGATTAACGCCCAGAATAAGAGTGCAGACAATAGCGCCGATAACGAGACCGATATCCATGACCTGACGGAACAAGTGTTCGGAAAAACCGAGACATTTAATGACCAGAATGCGGCTAATGTGGTCATCACTGACGACGATATGTTGGCCAACAGTTTGCTGTTTCTGATCGCCGGCAATGAGACGACAGCCACTCTATTGTCGTTTCTGTTGTACGAGTTGTCCGTCAATGAGAACTGTCAGCAACGGCTTTCATCACTGACGACGATATGTTGGCCAACAGTTTGCTGTTTCTGATCGCCGGCAATGAGACGACAGCCACTCTATTGTCGTTTCTGTTGTACGAGTTGTCCGTCAATGAGAACTGTCAGCAACGGCTATACGAAGAGATTCGCGGTTTTGCCGGCGACTATAGCTACGAGTCGATCGCACGGATGCCGTATTTGGAGGCCTGTGTGGCCGAAACGCTCAGGCATTACCCGCCCAATCCGGCCGTCACCAGAATATGCACCGAACAATATGTACTAGGTACGTTTATTCCAGTTTGATTTATGTAGATAACTTATAAATAATTATTTATTTATTTATTTAATAGTTAATATTATATATAACTTATAAATAAATCATTTTATAATCATTATTTAAATATGATCATGATTAACAAACAATTTACTATAAATTAGAGGATCATATATATGATTCATTATGATTCATAAAAATCGGTCTCAATAGAAAACACCACATGATTAATATTTTGAATATTGTTTATTTTATTTGTTTGTTAAAAATATAATTTTATAATAAACTCGTGTTTTACAGGCGATACCGGGTTAACAATACCAAAGGGAATGACAGTCAATTTTGACGTGTATGGCATACATCACAGCCCCGAGTATTACCCGAACCCCGAGCGTTGGGATCCCGAAAGGTTCCTGCCCTCAAATCGTGATCAATTAGTGCCCTATACTTACATGCCTTTCGGTTTGGGTCCACGAAATTGTGTGGGAATGAGGTTTGCGTTAATGCAGGCGAAGACTACTGTCGCGCATCTCATCGATAAATATCGCTTCAAACGTACGGCTAATACACGATATCCGCCGACATTCGAGATGTTTGAGTTTGTGTTAACATCTGATGACATCAATATAGGCATTGAATTGAGATGAGCTAATGCAAATAACTTGCAATTAACCATATTTGATTGACCATCACTAATATATTATTAATATTTAATTTAATTTAATTATTTAATATATTTGATATTTAATTAATATTGTTAAAGTAATGTAATTTATTTCTGTTAAATAATTAGAACATTTTATTATTGTTATTTGACAAATCTTTATTATTTTGTTTCATCTAGATAAATTATATTAACCCTTAAAGCTTAAACTTAAATAATAACGTTGTAAATAAACTGGGATTGTAATCTCCCAGCA